ACATACTTGCAACAATTGTAAATATGTGTTTTTACATGTTTGCAACTTTACTAATGAGTCCAACGAAAAGTGTTTTTGCAATGTATTTTTTAAATTTGTGTTTTTTAATCCAATAATATAGGAAATTATAAGATTAAAAGTTGTTGTTGTTGTTTTGGTTGTGTTTAGGAAGGAGTTGGGGAGTGATTCAATAATGGATATATGGGTTTATTACGCAATTACCATTCAGTCATGTTTGGGATAACTGTTTTGTCACACGGCGGGTTTTTAAATTAGAGAAAAGTAATGGGGTGTTTAAGATGTTATTGTTTCATATAGCGTTAAGTACAAGTACACGACCAAGTGTACTTGTTACAAACAAGTACACGGCCGGCGTCAACAAGTACGCTGGTCGTGTATTTGATTTTTTATGGTTTATTTTGTACTAGTTGCTACCACTTGGGCTGGACGGTACCGTGACGGTCTCGCTTCATGCAGATCGGTGTTTAATCCCCGACCGTCCAAGTGGTTGGGCACCATTCCTCCCCCCCCCCCGTCCCATCCTAGATCCTTATCCTTACCCTTTCTAAGTGCTATATAACCATAATGGCTTTCGCTTTCCCACGGGAGACATCTCCCGTCATGCAGGGTGCAGTCGCACCTCCACAGATCTCCAGTATCAGCTCTTGATACTGGTAATGGCTCAAAAGGGCCACCACTTACGAGCTATTCTTGCCCGTGCCACCTTTTGGGTGGCTTAATCTTCATCAATCAATCAATCAATCGCTTTCCCTTGATAATTCCTTCCTTCCTTGTACTAGTCGCTGCGTGTGCTATTGCTGCGACAATTGTTCATTTTCGTAATAAACATGATGCTGGCTATTATCTTGATCTTGTCTTGTCGAGGATGCTGCGTGTATCTGGGTTGACTAACTTGCATAAGAATCATCTATCCGGCCACGAGAGATTCTATAAAAAACAATGTTCAACTATATTCATTTTTCGTCCTGTGGGATCTTGGACAAATATAAAATGTGGTTCTCATATCTCCAGCTATAACGTTTCTCTCTCTCTGGAGGCTGGTAAACATAATTTTTAGAATTGTGTAAGTGTAAGTTGTTAATGATGATAAGAAAACTTATCACAAGTATCATCTCAAAATGTCATCGTTGATGAGGTGTTTGGATTGATTCCTTCGTGATTGTGAAACTCTCAAATCTGGCGACAGTGTTCGCTCTGTCTGGCCGTCTTCACACAGCTGCGAACTGAAGAGCAAGTTTAATTGGTGTCTGGCTCTCTTGGCGCTTGGCTTTGGGTATTCATAATTCCTTCCCTGCTGCTCGGAGCTTGCTGCGCTCGATGACTCTTAGTTGGTATATGTTTGGTTTACTGCATGGTTGTGTGCGTGTGTGTGTGTGTGTGTGTGTGTGTGTGTGTGTGTGTGTGTGTGTGTGTGTGTGTGTGTGTGTGTGTGTGTGTGTGTGTGTGTGTGTATTCACCTAGGTGTGCGTGCGGAGGTTGAGCTCTGGCTCTTTGGTCCCTCCAATGTGTGTGTGTGTGTGTGTGTGTGTGTGTGTGTGTGTGTGTGTGTGTGTGTGTGTGTGTATTCACCTAGGTGTGCGTGCGGAGGTTGAGCTCTTTGGTCCTGCCAATGTGTGTGTGTGTGTGTGTGTGTGTGCATAATTACCTGAGTGCAATTAACTAAGTGTAGTTACAGGTTGAGAGTGGTGTCCCGTCGTGGAGTCCCGTCTTCCCAGTACTCTTTGTCGTATAACGCTTTGAGTGCACAGTATGTGTGTTCCTTTACTGTTTGCCTGTACTATTTATGCCTACAGGATCGAGCTATTAGCTCTTGAACCCCACTTTTCCTCTCAGTAGGTTGCCTAATGTACTCACTCCTAACCTATTTTCTTCTATCAAGGTAAGCTACTCTGGCCTGGGACGTACACTAATACCTGTCCGTGGAACATGAAGTGATATTCGTCCGTAAGACTTGGGAGAATGTTTGTCCGTGATATTTGGTAGCCTGCTCATACCTAATATATGGCAAAATACGTTTTCAACTGTGGTCGAATACTCATCCGTGGAGTTTAGAGAAATTTCGTCCGTGGGGCGTAGAGAAATCTCGTCCGTAGCTGTTAGAGAAGCCTCGTCCATGGGGAGCTTAGACAAGTTTCGTCCGTGGGGCTTGGAAAAACCTCGTCCGTGAGGGCTTAGAAAAACCTCGTCCTTGGGATTTGAAAAATACACATTCGAAAGACGTTCTAACACCACTGAAAATATTTGTCCACAGAACACATTTTCTCCCCCATTAAACCATATCTTCACCACCAGCAGCGTACGATGAGCTGCGCCAGTACACAAAATTCGAGCCGACGGTAACAATAAATTGAGAGCGGGTTCAACGCAACTACATTAATAAAAACCTTTACCTTCTACACGCAAAAGCGAACATTGTGTCAAACATGTGAGAAAACACAGATAATTAACATGATGTATATCAATACATGCCTCATACACATTAGGGCCCAGACCTGGGATGAACTTGAGGATTCAGAATCACTTTTAATTGGGAAGTTTTTCGTGATGGAGAGGTATGTTGTCTCTTCAAGTTTTCCTTTTTGCTTTCACAGATTATTGCAGGTTTGTCTCGATAATGAAAATGTGAGTTTAAAACTGACACTCGTCCGCGAACACTAGACAATTCGTCGCATTTTATCGTCTCGAGGTTTAGAGAATATGTCGGTTTGTTCCATTCTCAAGAAATGGACAATCGCTGGTGATTGTTATGTCTACTGTTATAGCAATCCACGTTAGCTGCATTCCAGCAGCAGAATCTACACACACTTGAAATCCTTAAGAACATTTGAATATTGAAAGGTTTTTATTTGAAGCACTGAGTCTCAGTAAATACTCTAACAATATTTAATAACAGGAAACTACTAATAACAGAGGGAATTTATCGATTTAAAAAAATTCCAGCTGTAATGAAGGCATTCGCAAACCTCACCAATACCCAAAAGAGCGACCACACTAACACAAACTCAACCAATATACCCATACCCAGAACCAACCCAAACCCAATACCAAACCAGCCCAAAGTCATTCCAAAAACTAGCCGAAACCCACTCTCAAATCAGGTTAAACTCGCACACAAACCAATCAAACCCCACACCCAAAAGTGTTCCAAATTCACACCCAAATTACCACCAAACCACGTCCAAAAGCAGTTCAAACTTTCTCCCGAACCCAAAACGAACCCTCATATTATTTAGAGCAACTGAGTATATCTTTATAAAACACACCCCTTAAATCCAACTCTCTGTCGTGTTCATGTATTTTAAAATCACAAATTCTAACTGTACGAACAATACGTGAAGATGCTCTCTGATGGCCTGCAGACACCTGGTTGTCTTGCAAGAGTTCCGTGCAACAGCGAATGGAACAGTCCAGTACCTCAATTGGGACCTGAACCAGCGAAGTCGGGCCATAAAGCTTCAAGACGAATGCTACCAGACTGTTCGCAGTAATGGCTTCCTCCTATTGTTATGCCAAGCGGCAAAACACACAGTTAATATACCGCTTCTTGCCAGTACACAAACAGAATCCTCCCTTACTCTCTTCTCTCTCTCTCTCTCACCTGATTCTCCACTCGCTCTCTTCTCTCTCGTCAGCTTCTCTCCCACTCGATCTTTTCTCGCTCACAATCTTCTCCCACACTACACCTTCAAAATCATCTCACTCACTCGCTCGCTTATACCTTGCTGATCCTAATTATCTCCTTTCACTCTCTCTCTCTCTCTCTCTCTCTTTCTCTCTCTCTCTCTCTCTCTCTCTCTCTCTCTCTCTCTCTCTCTCTCTCTCTCTTTCCGTCTATCCTGCCCGCCATTATTGTCTTAGGTTTACACTAAAAAATCCTTCATTTGTTTAACATCAGTGTACCACGATAATGACAAATACCATTGTTGAGGAGAGGAAGCTCTTTAAGGGGTATTGAGGTCAACTTTGCCACTGGGGAGGATGCGCACTCGGTCACCCATCCAAAGGCGGTCTGAACCTGACTGAATGACGCGCAAAGGATCCGCCTGACCACACCATACAACATCAAAATCACACAATAGAAGACTAAATCAAGGGTTTTCAATATATCAAAAATTTGTGAACGCCCAACACCGTCATTCATCATCTGAACCCAAAATCAAAATAATAACAATGATGATAATGATAAAATCCTCTTGGGCTGAGAGGTGGACGCGAACCTTCGAACTTCGAATATGCAGTCTCCGTGGTGTAGTGGTAAGACACTCGCCTGGCGTTCCGCGAGCGCTATGTCATGGGTTCGTATCCTGGCCGGGGAGGATTTACTGGGCGCAATTCCTTAACTGTAGCCTCTGTTTAACGCAATAGTAAAATGTGTACTTGGATGAAAAAACGATTCTTCGCGGCAGGGGATCGTATTCCAGGGACCTGCCCGAAACGCTACGCGTACTAGTGGCTGTACAAGAATGTAACAACTCTTGTATATATCTCAAAAAAACAAGGCATTGCCAAGCCGCATGCTCTTCACCCTCATTGTGTGTGTTAATGATAATAATACAATATTGTCCGTCCAGTTAGACTAGAACAACAGCGGTACCTCTGACAGCACGGTGGTCGGAGTTCGACCCCCAGTGATCCAAATACTTGGGAATCTTTCCGTCATATCCCTCCCCCATCGTTCTCATGTCCATTCCATGTGATATATATCCACTATGGCTAAGCTCTTTTTTCTGAAAATTATCCTACCTTTCGACTTTATCTTGGTACGACACAGGAACGACCACGCTTCGAGAAATTCAGTACGAGCCATGAAGTGGATTCGAACCTACACACTGGGTACTCCCAAGCAAACACCTTAGACCACTACACCATGACATGTACACCCAAACACAATGTCTTTAGACCCCTACACCACAACGACATCATTCTCCGGATATGTCGTCGTTAACCTTACCTTTCACCTCTTTCCTTGTACGACGCAGGTACGACCACGCCCTGCACGGCGACCAGCACGAACTGACGCCCTACTTCCAGGACTACGAGAATACCACCAACATCACCGCACAGCTCGGCTCCACCGCCTATCTCAACTGTCGAGTCAATAGACTTAGAGACAAGACGGTATGTGTCGTCTGCTTACGGTGTGTGTGTCGTGTGTGTGTCGTGTGTGTGTCGTGTGTGTGTCGTGTGTGTGTCGTGTGTGTGTGTCGTGTGTGTGTCGTGTGTGTGTCGTGTGTGTGTCGTGTGTGTCGTGTGTGTGTCGTGTGTGTGTCCTGTGTGTGTGTCGTGTGTGTGTCTTGTGTGTGTCGTGGTATCCTCTTCTGTGTGTTCTGTTTTCTAATGACGGTGTGGCCTGTGTGTCCTCTACTGGTTGTGTATTTTGTATCCTCAAGTGGCAGTGTGTTCTATGCTCCTCTGTGTCCTCTAATGGCTTTTGTGTCCTATATGTCCTTCAGTGGTAGCGTGTCTCGGATCCCAATTTGTCTACCAGTGGTGGTGTGGACATTCCGGACACGGAATGTCCTACGTTCCATTGTATCCCTATGTTTGTTTCCTTAAGTTATTGTATTTTCCATTTATCTCTGGCTGTATCTTCAAGGTATTTGTTAATTTGTATCAAAATATGTATCTCTGTGTATCTACCTGCCAGTCTTTAGTTCATCCTCTTTTCAAATAGTTTTTCCCTTCTTTTCATCTTCATATCTCCCTATTCTTCATCTTTTTACAATTCTTCTGTTTTATAATCGTGAATTTCGTTCTCTTATTTTTGTCTCCTCTTTTCTCTTCGCGTATGTCTCCTTGAAGATTATTGGTTTGCTTGTTTCCTACTTCGATTATTAGTGTTATTGCATCTCATTTCGGTTATGGGTTTTATTTGGTTTCATTTTGTGTTTATATTCAAATATATCTTAATTATTTATTTACCATATTTAGCTAAGCATATCTCTCCACAGGTATCGTGGGTGAGGCGAGATGGAGAGAAGATTAAGCTTCTTACCTGGGGACTTCACACCTATAGCAACGACGCCAGGTAGGCCGGCGGTTATGCCAGGTAGGCCGGCGGTTTGTCAGGTAGGCCGGCGGTTATGCCAGCTAGGCCGGGGGACTCCAGGTATACCGTGTGTCTTCAGACAGGTCAGAAGCCGCCTGGCAGGCCGATGACCTCTAGGTTGACCAGAACAGGAGGCACAGAGGGGAAAGAAGATAGAAGTGAAGAAGCGAAAAGGGAAGAAGGAACGTACCGGATAAGAGGATAAGTGAATACAAGAGACTGGTGGTGAAAGAGAGAGTAGAGAGAAGGAAAAGAGGTTGAAAGGCATGAGAGAAGGGAGAGAGGGAGAGGAGGTAGAGATAGCTGTAACAAGAGGCATACGAGGAGGAGAGAGGAAGTGGTATTGATCATATTCTCTCCAGTGGTCGAACAGTGAAATACGAAGAGCTGTACAAGTAATGTGACCCAGATATATCTAATTCCAGGATTCATTTTCCATTCGGGATCCTGTACCACTGTAAATTAATTAATGCCAAAGGTTCACACACACACACACAATATATATATATATATATATATATATATATATATATATATATATATATATATATATATATATATATATATATATATATATTTATATTTAGGGGTACCACCACTGGTTTAATTAAAGGGACCCACATCCTCGAAGAAGAAAATAAATAGTGTTCAGAGAAGACCTTGTGGATTCTCACTGAATACTTTAATCTTTTCCTCTCCTACCACCCCTATTATTTTTTTTTTATTTGATTTTATTGCAATGCTACAGTTTACAGAAAACACACACTTATATAACAATATACCAATCAGTGTTCGAAGACCTCGTCCATATATATATATATATATATATATATATATATATATATATATATACACACACACACATCTTAATGAACTATTTATAAATCACGACTTATTGCTCAATAACAGTAGTAAAACCGAAGGGGACAATGCTCAATGGCCTCAAGATGACCACAGAACTCTCCCTGAGAATTGACTTCTGATTTCATCTCCATTTAGTCTAAAAGAGTTATTTTTCATACCAAACTTATCTTCCCTCCAGGCCCCAGGCTTACCCGATTCTCCGTAACTAAGGAACTGATTAAAGGAACTATCATCGTACCTTCCTATCATCGAACCTCACTATTATACGCTGATAGGGAGCGGAAGTGCACCCTACCGGGCCCCTAAGAAAAGATGGTCCTCTAATAGGCAATGGGGCCCCCCTAAACCTAGCACAGATGACAATCTATTAAGCAGTGGCGAACCGGATCAGTACGTTGATGGGGACTGATACGATTACATATATAACTGAAGATTAGGATGATTAGGAAAGGCTTTCGACTAAGGGCTGGGATTGTAAAGGGAGGAATGACCCGTACTTCAAATGGTATAAAAGGCGATTATGCCACAAATTTAAGGAAAGTATTTGGAATATGTTATGTGGGTTTATCCGTTCTTGCTACCCAGAAAAATAAAAATAAAAGAACTTTTATAGACGGAATAAAAGTGATAAAAAATATAACGAAAACTTTCACTGTCGTGTTCTCTTGGATGAGAAGTTTCTACACAGCGTATAAGAGATGCTTTTTTGTTTTGTTTTTACGTCAGAGGCGGAGTCGTGTGCCCACTCTCCCTGAAGCTGCTATAGTGTTACATAAAAGTTATGATATATACAGATATAAAAAAAAGCCTTTTTTAAAGTTTTTCTTAACAGTATATTATATATGTATGCAGTAATTTAATATATGTATTAAAGTATTATTTTCTCTATCTCTTTCTCTCTAAAAAATATAAATGTCCTTAAGAATTCAACCATTACAATTAATTCTTCATAGTTTATTATTCTTAAAAGATTTTTCCCTTCCAAACTTCATTATTCCATAATATTATAACTTAAGGCATTGTTTTTTAACCTTTTCCGCGCCACTACTCGACTTCTCAGATACTCCCTAAACTTCGAGCATCCCAACAACTGGAAGCTGCAGATTAAGTACACGCAGCGACGGGATCAAGGAAGCTATGAGTGCCAGGTGTCCACGCATCCTCCTAAAGTCCTTTCGGTCAGACTAAATATTGTAGGTAAGTCCGATTTGGCGTCTCTAGTTTACTGTGTGTCTGAGCAAGTGATAAAGACTTCACAAATGGTCATTTTTTACTGCTTAATACGGGGCTTTTCTTAGTAATATGCTGTGGTCCAATAGTTGTATTTGGTGAGTACCTGAAATATAATTATCCACTTTCTTTCCTAGTATATCTTTGTATCTGTCTGTGTAGCACCCCAGGGTAGAGGGACCACTCCCACAACCCTGGGGTCAGTCTGTGTAACACTCAGGGCAGCCAACTTATCGAAGACAATACCAGTGTTGCATGGCTGACAGCCGCTTATCACCCTCTGGACCATTACGGACTTCGTGCGCGATTGGATAATTTTCCGTCAAATTTCAAGTAACGTGTCTCAAGCTGACCCATATTCCTGGACCCACCAACATTCAGAGGGTTGGAAAAGTCTAAACCAGCAATTTGTAGCCATCAAGTTACGAAATACCAGAACATTTCTTCTGCTGTAGATGTCGCCTTCTCCTAGTGTTATTATTTCAATCTAGCTAACTTAGCCAACCCATTTTTACTAGTAGATTTTATTGATAACCGGCGGTAACACTTTATAATAGTCTGAATTGGATAGTTATTACTTTACAAACCAGATACTGTTGAGTACTATTTCCCGGAAGTTATTTCTGACATTTCGTATCCTGCCGACACTCTGCAGTACATTTGTCAAGTTTGTCAACTGCAAACATTCAAAACAAAGAACGGAATAAATTCTGGTGACGTTACGACCATAACAAAGGAAGAAACTCACGCGATTCAGGTGACATCACGTCAGTAAGAAAGGAAGAGTGTCATGCAATTCACGTAACGCCACGTCAATAACCAAGGCAGGATCTTACGTGGTTCTTTTGGTGAGGTCAGTGCGTAAGATCTCTCTAATTCACCTGAGTAAGGAATTTGAAGTATTCATTTTGAGGTTTGTGTAGCACAGCGTTGAATGTCGTGCAAGAACAGAGTGATGGGGAGGATTTCGTGAATCTTTTTGTATCCAAAGACACTGTTCATTTGGTTTGACTAGAGGGAAAGAAAGTGAGGGAAAGAAGAGTTAGCTAAATAAAGTGAAAGGAAAAGGTGTTTCAGAGAGTGAGTGGAATAGGGGGTCGGATGAGGGAAGATAGAGAGGAGTTGAAAGAGAAAATAACTACCAGGAGAAAGGGCCAAGCCATTATGACTATATAGCACTTGGAAAGGGATCAGGATATGGATTTGGGACGAGGGGGAAGGAATGGTGCCCAACCACTTGGACATTCGGGGATTGAACACCATCCAGCATGAAGCGAGACCGTCGCTCTACCGTCCAGCCGAAGTGGTTGGGGGCGAGAAGAGTTGGAACAAATGACAAAGCAAGGGGGGGGGGGATGAAAGAGGGGTTTAAGGAAGGAGAGTGTGGGAGGGGACGTAGGTGGAGAGATAGAGAGGCGATGGAAGAGGAGAGATGAGAGGGTTGGATACGAGGAAAGCGAGAGGAATTGAAGGAAAGGAAAACAATATGGGATAGGAGGAACTGGGAGGAGGAATGAGAAAGTAGGGGTTGAAAAATAAAACAGGGCGCACGCGCGCGTGTGTGTGTGTGTGTGTGTGTGTGTGTGTGTGTGTGTGTGTGTGTGTGTGTGTGTGTGTGTGTGTGTGTGTGTGTGTGTGTGTGGTGTGGTGTGAACTGGTAGTGGTGGAGGAGAATGTTACTACCTGCTATGAGTCCCAATCAGAGAGCAAAATAAAATATATACCCCGAAAGAAGGAAAAAATATAGCAAAAATAGATATTATAAGCAAAAACAGATCAAGAATAGACAATAATGTAACCTACGAACCAAAGTAGAACATCAGAGAAAAAAGCGAGAAAGAAGAAAGAGAAAAGGAAGTGACCATCGACCAAAAGAAAAGGAGCGAGTCTCCCGGCAGGAATGGAAGTCAGTGAACGCGTCCAGAAACAATTCCAGGATCTTCAACGGCACTTTTCTAAAACATAATTTCCAAGGTAATAGCACCTGACGTTTTGAGGAGTCAGCTGTGATGTGTTCGGAGGATGTGCAGCCTCGTCCCAAGTCCTAAATGTTTCTCAGGTTTCAACCTAGGTGTCATACATACAATATATATATATATATATATATATATATATATATATATATATATATATATATATATATATATATATATATATATGTCGTACCTAGTAGCCAGAACGTACTTCTCAGCCTACTATGCAAGGCCCGATTTGCCAAATAAGCCAAGTTTTCGTGAATTAATTGTTTTTGACTACCTAACCTACCTAACCTAACCTAACCTAACTTTTTCGGCTACCTAACCTAACCTAACCTAACCTATAAAGATAGGTTAGGTTCGGTACGGTTGGTTAGGTTCGGTCATATATCTACGTTAATTTTAACTCCAATAACAAAAAATTGACCTAATACATAATGAAATGGGTAGCTTTATCATTTCATAAGAAAAAATTTAGAGAAAATATATTAATTCAGGAAAACTTGGCTTATTAGGCAAATCGGGACTTGCATAGTAGGCTGAGAAGTGCGTTCTGGCTACTAGGTACGACATATATATATATATATATATATATATATATATATATATATATATATATATATATATATATATATATATATATATATATATATATATATTTATTAATTTATTTATTTATTTCTGTGTATACTTCTATTTAAAAGTAAATTGTGATAGCTTCCTTTCAGATTCATACAGCAAATTATTATGTATTTAATTTTATGCATTGTATTTTCAGGTCGACGAGAAACGTGGGGTTAAGTGCCATTAACTATTAGGTTGATATTCCTGTTTTCTAATACCAGTGACGACGTATCGATCCACCCTGAACGTTTATCATGTCGATAACAGTTTCGAGCATGATGAGGGTCCCAGGATGGACGAGACTCCCCTTCAATTGTATTTTCTTATATGTTGGTTAGGTCCTCTGTTTTCAGCCACGTTATTAAGCAATACGAAAATACGATATTGTATACGAGCGAAAAGCGACGTTATTTGTAAGAGGAGAGGTTGTATATATTGTATGTTGTATGTATTGAGAGTTATTCTCTTCAGTAGAAAACACCCTCACCAGTATGTTGACCAGACCACACACTAGAAATTGAAGGGACGACGACGTTTCGGTCCGTCCTGGACCATTCTCAAGTCGATTGTGAATGGTCCAGGACGGACCGAAACGTCGTCGTCCCTTCAATTTCTAGTGTGTGGTCTGGTCAACATACTTCAGCCACGTTATTGTGACTCATCGCCTGCACCCACACCAGTAGACGGTCCAGTATTGAGAGGCTCGAGTTTACCATTGAGATATTGCAAACATATTGAGTTTGCAATTGCATTCGGTGCGAGAGGGGGTCAGTACTCATGTACATCACACAAGTGCTTCTTTTAACGTTGACGAGCTTTGAGAAACTCGAGAAAGTAAGCCAACCGAGAGGAAGATATGGGACAAAGAGGACCGAGAAATAGGGAGAGAGGTTTGATAAAGTGAATTAGTCAAGTCTGGAGACGAGTGATAATTTGGGACGAAGGGTGAGAAGTCGTGGTGTTGATTGGTAGGGTGACTGTATAGGGGGACCACAGGATTACGTGTACAGCGTGCTGTTCGCTCGGCCACCGGCTCCATTGGATCTTCCCTTGGAAGCTCCCTGTGTGTGTGTGTGTGTGTGAGTGAATTCACCTAGTTGTGCTTGCTTGGGGGGGGGGTTGAGCTGTGGCTCTTAGGTCCCGCAAGTACCAATGTGTGTATGTGTGTGTGTGTGTGTGTGTGTGTGTGTGTGTGTGTGTGTGTGTGCGTGTGTGTGTGTGTGTGTGTGTGTGTGTGTAATGCATATGTGTGCCTGCAGGATTGAGTTGCTAGCTCTTTGATCTTGTCTCTATAACTGTCAGTTGTCATATACATATGACTAGGACGTGCATTGCCTAACACCTTAATGACAAAGCGGCACTCCAGGAAAGGTCTTAAGTCCAAGTTAGACAGCAGCAGTTGGTGTCTCTGGAATTAAAGTCCTTATTAGTCCTTATTAAAGGATAAATAAGTCTCCTTATTAAAGGGTGGTGGTGGTTCAGGAGGTAGAGCTGCGGGCTGTTGTTTATGTGGCCGGGGATTCGAGGCTCTGTTGGTCCAAAGTGCATACATACATATGTTGGTGTAAAGTGCATATATATATATATATATATATATATATATATATATATATATATATATATATATATATATATATACACACACACACACGATTTAGGCCCAAGGTCGCGCTGGGAATGACGCCATTTGGCACAAACTCCTTACTAAATAATGTTGAAAAAAATAAATGAATGATGGGAGAGAATGCGTCTCAGCTTCAGCCGACTTGATAAATAGTAGTTCATGAAGTTACGAGACTGACACGCTAATTCATTACCCCCATCCCAGACTCCTGGCTGTGAATTACACATTGTACGTGGTAGGATTTGCCTTTGGTACGCTGGCTTTAACGTTCTTCCCTGAAGGGAATTTCTAGCTGTTTCTCCCTCTTTATTCCAGTTAATATTTAAAGTTTAACGAGCCTTGGCGCTCGTTTAACTGGAATATACAATGAAGTTTATTGAATTTTTGGATATAATTTTTGAACAAGCCTCACTGATCTTTTCCCCCCTTGTTTAAAATTTAAACAAAGTAATAACTCATGATGAAATTAAAAATCGCAAACGAGTTGTTAATTTCAGAGCTTGTTAAATTTTTAGCAATTAAGGGGTTATTTTCCCAAGATATTAACAGTTAATAAAGTTTTCCACTTGACTTGTGAATTATTCTCAGATTCTCTGCTCATGATTCTCGGTGATGTGTTGCATGACAGAGAGTTATTCTTTGTCAGGAGTACGGCAAAAGGCAGAGTTCACTATCGCAGACACTTTGTGTTAGTTGCTTTAGGGACAGTAGTAATAGGCATCCTACAGTCACGGGAGACAATG